AACATTAAACCTCAATTCCCCGTCCAGTATGAGGGTGAAACGGGCCGTCTCCATATCCCGTCCGGTATGAGCACCAAATTACCAAGTGTCCATACCCCGTCCGGTATGAGACAACGTTCACGGTAGGGTTCCCTATGAACCCAATCTGTCCACCATTTCCCAAGATATCTAGTAAGACTGTTGTTCCATTTACTTATTTCATCACACAACTTTTCTGTTTTCCTTTAGTCTCTATTACCAAATCAAACATAATCACATAAAAAAATAAACATGCATCAAGTAATGCAATCATATCTCAAATCCCAATCAAACAGTAGTCATATAAGGCAGCAATACATGCATTTAAACCATAAAATAGAATAATCAGATACTATCATACTTTTAGACTGTGAAATAAATTAATAGAGAATAATTTTCGACTCGGACTCCATTAGTAATCCGTAATTAATTATGCACATTTATTTAATTTGTACAAAATACCATATTATTATTTATTTAAACTTCAATTCTATGATAGGGAATGGAGTGAGGGATCCTTACTTGATTTGACACTAAAAAACTAAACGGTTTACTGTGCTTACTGGCGGTCCCTAGGTTCCCTGAATTTTTCTTTGGGAACTGAAATGTGTTTATAATATCTACAAATGTTTCAAATAAACCCAAAACCTGTCCTAGGACCCACTCGGGTAATTTTGAAAATCTGGCACGACAGCTCCACCGTGCTCTGGCGACAGCACTGTCACCCACGACGGCGGTCTGCCTCGGGTCGGCCGATTTTGCATCGATTCTTGCGAGCAAACACGTTAAAGGAACTCGGTTGGCAAAAAAATACGAAAAATCGAAACTCACCGGCGGCGGGGCTCTTCGGTGCGGCGGCTCCTCTGGCTCACGTTGCGGTTGGCTGTTTCGCTTCGGTTAACCTGTAGAGAAGAAAATGGTGATCACAACAGTGGAAAAATTATGCTAAACGGGAATCGGAAAGGGCCTCATCGGAGGCGATTTGTGAAATTCTCTGCAGGGACGTCGTCGGGCTTCGTCGGTGTTTTCCAGCCAATCGGCCAGTCTTTTCACTCTGATTTGCCCATAGTTAAGCTTAAAATTGAATTTCGTGCAAAAGAAAAAGTTTTACCTTTTTTAGCAGTCGGAAAGGGTTCAAGAGCAATGGCGGTTAGCGGCAGTCGGCTCCCCGGCGGCTGGGTCGTCTTCTTCGGCAAGGGGTTCTAACGGCTGGGGTTAAGGTTTGGTGCGGATGAGGGTTATTTATACCCATCCGCTTTTGATCTGGGCTGTTCATCGCTTTTGATCTGGGCTGTTCATCGCGTTTGATCTGGACTATCTGATCGTGATTAAATAGGGAGTAAATCTAGACTGTTCATCGCGATCCAATCTGGGCCATCCATCGCGATTTACTCTGGACCGTCCGATCGCTTTTAATCTGGCCGTTCGATTGCATTTGGGAGGGAGCGCATTCAGGCCGTCCGTGCGCGTGGGAATGGACCTCAGTCATTCAATCGCGCACATGCAGATCGCCCACGTGGCCTCCTGCGTCAGCGCCTCTGCCACTTGGTGCATCCTAGTGGGTCGGGGCTGCTGACCGGACGTCTGACGTGGTAAATTTTTTTTAAATTGTATTTTAATTCATAATTTCTGATTTTTCTTTCAAAAATATTTCCAAAACCCAATTTTTTACATTTTTTTTCTAAAATTATTTTTAATTTAATCATCTATCAATTTTACTCTATTTTTATATTAAATTAAAATATAATAAAATAAATAAAATAAAAAATTATATTTATTAATTATTTTTTTTTGGCGGGTGTTACGCCGTCATCTTGTGAACTTGTAAAATTTATTATATAATTATTAATATAAAATAAAATTATATTATCGTAATTTTTATATTTAGAAGAAATAAAAAGAATGATGTACTTAGAAATTTTACGGAAACAATAAAATGAAAAGGTCTTAAAATTTTAACATAAAATTATTTTTATGCACACAAATTTTACTAAGCATTGTTTCATTTAAACCACATATTTTTCTTCCAATTCAGTCCCATGGCTTGACTTTTGCAAAATTTATATTTTTCTACTGCGATTCTGTTTAATTAATGCTTCAAATTTATTCAAATTAATTGTTTGTTTGCTTAATTTTTTACACATTTTGGAATATGTCCAAAAAACAATTATATTCTTGCGATTTGACATGAATAAGTCTATTAATAAAATAATTTCATCTAACACTCTAAATTTTTAAATGAAATTTGAAATTTAAATTCAGATTTTTTCAGATTCAATAACGACAAGGACATTGACGCGGACAACAGACAAACATTGGCGCTACAAAATGTTTTTTCGTTATTATTTTTCTATATATAATTGTTTTTATTAATCTAGAAAAACGAAAGAGAATGAATTTTTAGGCCATCTAATTGAATCGGATGATGATGATTATAAATTATAATTATAGGACCTTATAGTCAAATTTTAATCATAATGACTTATGAAAGTTGATTTAAAATATTTTGTACAATATCGATATAAAGCTTGTTTTATTAAGGTGATAATAATTCAAATGTAATTGTAGTATTTTAATTACACATATTAGAATTAATATAAAATTAAATTAATACTGTTAAATTTTTATATTATATTTGAATGTCATAAATTTAAATTTTATTAAAAATTTAAAATTTATAATATTTGATTAAATAAATTAAAAACTTAATTCATTTGTATATTAATAAAGTTATAATGATAAAATTATATTAAATTTTAAAGAATTTATGATTTTGTGGTATTTCAATTTTTTTAATTAAAATAACTATAACTAAAATAACCGCGTGTGTGTTATGTATATATATATATATATAATAGTGAAAGGACAGGTAGCAATGGCCACTGCTGTGTTTGAGGTGGGGTAGGGGATTTGGCGGCTTTGCTTTCTGAGGTGCCATGCGCGATGTAACGCATGGAAATGGCTTTGCCAAATACATAGCTAAGATTGAGAGAGAGAAAACGAGGCATGCATATGACCGTTATATGTATATATATATATATACACACACACACACACACACACACGCACACATAAGAGAACCTAGATTTTGTAAGCGGCGGAGAGGATCAAATTTTTTTTGTATCTTTTTATCACGATGAATTATTTACCTCTTTCCACAGCCAATCCCACGTGACACCATGTGACTATGTATCATATATCACATCATCACCTTCTTACACATATATGTATATATATAATATTTTACCGTGCAGTTCGAAGTTTTTAAAGTTTAATACTTTTAATTTATTTTT